ATGGATTTTTTGGTGAATAAGATGATGGAAACAACTTTAGATGGTCATTTTAAGGGTGTGTATATGGTTTTTATGGTGGTTTATTGTTTGGAACAAGGACTTGTGTGAAAAGTGTAAAGTGGTGGATTTTGGTGTTTTTGTGAAATCTCTTCACTTACAAGCAAAGAGGGTAAGAATGGGAGCTATGTGTTTCTGGTTTTTTTGATAGCTCTGGTGTGTCTAAATAAGTGGAAGGAAGTATCTATTTATAGGCCAAGAGAGGCATTGGGGCAGATTTGGTTTCAAGTTTTTGGGGGGAGTTTTGGAAGAAAATCTATCCAATATCATGTGACAACTGTGCTCATCAGTCCCTTGGCTCAATGCGGTGCAAAACTTAAGTGAAATGAAAGACATGAGGTGACTGAAGTGAGGCTAGAGGCTGCAGCTGCAAGTCTTCACCAAAAAAAAGTTTCTCTTTCCTCTATTTTTAAATAAAATAATGTCCACTTGCTTGCAACTTGGAAGCTCTACCAAATCTCATTATTTCTGCATTTTCTGACCATCCTTCTCTCTAAATATCAGATTAAGACATGATCCAATGGTTGAGAATGGTCCAAGTGGCTGAAAAGTGAATTTGTGAAAAAGTGGAAATGGTGCACTCATGTGTGGAGACCCCAACTTTATGGATTCATAACTCTCAACTCATAAGTGCTATGGAGGAGTTCTAGTATTTTTTGGAAAGCCCTCATGGAGCTCTACAACTTTCATGTTTTCATGATCTTCAGATTCCAAGTGGAACTAGGTCAAAAATCCTCTCAAAGTTGGCTGAAAACATGATATGCAATCTACTCATTTTTTGCACATGGGCCCCTGTGAGACTTTTGTAAGAATTGTTAGGACCTTTCCAACAAGTTTTGAACCACCTCAATTGGATGTGTGGTTAAAGAGTTATGGTCTTACCCCTTTCAAAACCTTAATTTCCCGATTTCTCGATTACTCCTCCATCCTTAATCCAATGGTCATGAAACTTCATAGATAGGTGTAATATAGCATTAGGAACATTTTTGCTTCATACTTTGAGGTCAAATTCCTTATGGTTGAAGAGTTGACTTTTTGGTCAACGAAACGATCGATCGATGACTACCGAGTCGGTTGTTGATGTTCTGGGTCTTATGAGGCATTGAAACTTCTTGAGTGGACTTCACTAAGCCATATGAGCTTCATGGACCATAATTCCATCATTGGAACACCTTTTAAATCAAAAGTCAAACTACAATTGACTTTTTCCCCAAATCTTCTGATTTTTAATTGACTGATCAATTGAAGCTCTTCTGATTAAAATTGATGGTCAATCTCTCATCCCCAAACACCTTAGGACACATGGAAGGGCATGGAAACAAGTCTTGCTCCCGAAAACAAATTTATCCTGATTAAAAGTAAAACCCTAATTTCACCCTTTTTGCCTAGGCAGTGTGCAGATGAGTTGAGTGACCATTCCCACTCCCCAATGACCTCTGAGGTACTCAACAAACCTCTACCAATGCTAAATTTTCATGGACCCCTTGACAACCCTTTGATGGTTCCTTGATACTGCTGTGGCACACCTCTCCTTTCTAGGAGCTCAGATATCTTCATGATGATGACATACACAAAACAACCTCTGCCAATGCCTCTGCTTGAGCTTGTGGTCAATAAGGCTCTTGTCTTAGATAGGAAACACAAACACTTGATCCCCTGTAAGAACTATGTTGTGCAAATGCAAGATGCTAAAATGCAATGAAACATAAGCCAAAGATTAAGAAAAAGGTTGGTCAAATTTTGGGGTGCAGCAATATGCAATAGTAGAAAAATAATATTTGAGTCAAATCGTTACTGAATACAGAGCTTTGGTGTTGTTTCTAGGAATCTGAATGGAGAAAACTTGAGGGGATGTTCGCTCATGTTATTTGTTGTTTTGACACTCTAGTCAGCGGAGTGTTTTTGCAGTTTTTGGTAGCTGAACAGTTGATGAAGGTGACCGGAGATGAGAGCTCGTGGTGGTCGGAGGGAGTTCCGTCAGGAAAAAATGAGGATGAGGTTGTATGGTTGGTTCGTTGTAGTGAGTTGTTTGATGTTGGCCGATGGTGTTTTTGCTAGTGTCACAAACCGTTGTTTGATGTTGGTCGGAGGTGTTTTTTAAAGAGGAAAGAGGAATAGTGAGGCACATAGTGGATGTTAAAGGTTGGTTTTGCGTTTTTATAGAGAAATTTTGAGGGAGTTGGGTTGGGAAGATGACTAAAGTTGATTTTTTGAAGGGAAATGTGAGGTTTGTGGGGCGTTGAAAGGAAGAAAACATGTTAGGTTGGTGTTTGGCTGTGAGTAGTGGCGGAAAGATGGTACACGAAGTTGAGTATAATTCTTTTTCTTTACTTTGCTTTGTTGTACGAGAGGATTAAGGCAACTCTCTTTTTTTTATTATTTTTTTTCTTTGTTTTTTTATTTTCAATTATGGATGAGAAAAATGAATGCGATAGAGTTCTTTTTTCAGTGACAAACATTAACTATATATACTAACTACCTTGGGTTTCTAAATTATTCAAAATGTCAAAATTGACCATAGACCTTATTAAGTGACCAATTGGGTCTAATTGGATCAAATAAAATTTCTCAAAAATATCTAACAAAACAAATAAAACAGATAAATTATTTTATTTGTTTATACTTATTTTTATTAATTATTTTGATTGAAAAACAAAATAAAAATGATTAAAAATTGAACCCGCAGATGTGCGAAAAAATAACATGAATGCACTAAAATAATCTTCGCGAAATATAGTTCAGTAAAATAGACAGTTGCAGATCAAATATTGAAGATACAAATACCCAAAAGAAAAGGCTCGGACTAATCAAAATGCAAACACATGTTGATTCGAAAAAATTAAATGAGCACACCAAACTAAATTATAAGAAATGTAAATAAATAAAATAGATAACTACATGTTCAAACTTGAAAATTTTTGCTCCTTAATTTTACGCGTGATTGAAAATTGCTTCGAGTGGTCTATTTGTAAAGCTAGAATTTTATTCTAGTTGACTTTTTAGAATTTATATATATAAAAGCATGTCATGATATGCAGATGATACAAATGCCATGATGAATGCATGAAATGATAAAAAGGGCAAAATTTAGGGTATGACACTTAGATCTAGAAATTATCAAAAAACAAAGAATGAAGAGAAAATATACTCCAAGATGAAATCAATAATAGGGGAAAAAGGATACTTGATATTGAAATAGGTACCGACGTTATCCATGAACGGCAAACTATTCCCTAACTTGGATGGGACTTTCAAATTACGGCATAAAATATTTTTTTCGGGAGCACATAAGTTAGACATTCATGTAGGAGAAAAGGTTCATAGTAACTGGAACATTGTGAAGTTAAGATACTGATATAGTTGAACAAAACCTATAAGACTAAACATTATGTAACTTTTAAAGGATACTGCATGAGCCAGGTTTTTAACAAGGCACCTCAAGTGTTTTAATTAGTTATGTGTTATATGCTAAGTATAGGGCTTGGTGATAAATGTAGAGACTTCTTTGGCAAGAATGCTAAAACCCTACGAGGACTCTTAAGCCTTTGGATGACGTCATAAGTGGTATCTACAAGACCATACATGGACACTTAACCTACGGGCGACGTCATACATGCTATCCACATGAAATCTATGAAGACTCTTAAGCTTATAAGGTATCTCCCATAATCCTAAAGGGACTCTTAAGCCTACGGGCAACACAATCTTCGAACATGGCATGACATAAGACAACGCTCCTCATCGGATAAGTGCTAAGGAGTTTGAACATCCTTTAAGAGCCTAATATTTTTTCCCTTTCCACATCGCTAGTGGCGTTAATATGGTCATATGCAAACGACATCCCGTCAAAGCGCTTCTCCTAAAAGAAAAACTTTTCTTCTCCAAAAGAGGCAGAAGATCCACATTTTAGAGGACCATTGCCATAACCTTCCATGAAGATACCCCCACCTTAAAGCCTTGGAAGCAACAACGTCCACATCTATTGGTCCTTTTTCAGGATCGGCCCTACTCGTTTTGGCTGGGCAAAATTTCATGTTTTCAAGGGGATAAGATGACATGATGGGAGCAAACCTTCATGTTTTCAAGGGGTAAGGTGACATGATGGGAGCAAATATAACATGTTCCCCTTGCTCCGACGAGCATTATTAGCCTTCACCATTACAACTTTTCTTTTTTAAAATGTAAGTGGGCAAATGGGACAATCCTTTATAAAAAAAATCAAAGGGGTTAAACTTAGAATTAATTAGAAATATTGCGTATAGACAAAATATCATGAAAGCTTTTTACGCAAAAAACTCAGCATCTTCGAAAGATATTTAAAAAATAATATTAAATTCTGATGACGTATCGTGATAATAAGATTTCTTCAAAATTAAAATTTCTAATGTTTAAGTAGTATATCACTTAAATTTTGTTTTTTTTTTAAAATTCACATCCAATGAGTAACAAAAGTGAAATTATTAATTTGTTAACTTTTTTTTCATTAAAAAAATAAAACTGAATATAAAATTAAATTAAGGGACTTGTAACTAATCATACCAAAAATAAAATAAACATGCCTTTTGTCTAACAAACAAAAATATCACACAGTACATTGGGAGCACGCAAATTTGAATGATTCTATTGGCAGCTCATCAATGCCGTATTTGTAGTGTTATTAGTACACACCAAACCGCCATGACAACACCATTTTACAAAATTACCCCTTCCTCTAAATATGCCGCACCTAACGTTGCACGCCATTAAATCTAAACCGTCAACACAAGTAATCTCAGCCGTCCATTCAATAAAAAATCTTTATAAAAGATAGGTCTGAGAAACCTAACTATTATCGTTCAACAGCCTCTAGGGTTTCACCTTCCTTTCATCCATTACTCCTATCTCAGATCTCGTCTGCAACATCCCCGTTCTACTTCGACCGGTACCAGATCCGTTCATATCCGATGGATCTCTACCCTCCGGTGGACGTTTTCTCCAGGTACAAACCGCGCTTTTTATCGTTTTTATTGTTTCTTTTAGATTTTTCTTTATCGTTTATTGTGATTTATTTTGTTTTTCACTTTTCTTATAGATCTGAATCTTCGTCCGTCAGATCTAAGATTTAGAGGCGCGATCTTCACGTCAACTTGGTGTTTGGAATCTACTATGAGATTTTTTTTTGCAGGTTTGGTTGTAGATTGATGAGAAGATCGTAGATCCGAATTATACTAGTTCCGCCTTGGTGACAGAATTGGACGCTCTGATTTCTCAAAGTGCTATGAGCCATGGTTCTAGATTGATGAATTTCAGATTCATGTTGCAGATCTCGGTTCTTGTAATTATGTATTTGATTGTGATCGTTGAGTGAGGGAAGTTTTATGGATGTAGGTTGTTTCAGGATTACTTAACTTGATTCGCTTAGCGTTTTGAGGGTTGAATCCTGATTGATCATGTCATCCGACCTTTGCCATGTCAGGTGCGCTTGCTTGGCAGGTCAACTATTTAATAAAAAAGATTTGTTGGTTTTTGGGAGAGATCGCACGGGGTTTTTGCCCGGGATCTCTCTTTTGCGTGGTGTCTGCTTTTTTTGTTCGTTATTGTTTTATTTTGTTTTATGCTCTTTTACGCACGATGATTTCATAGAAGATTTCTCGGAGAACATAGCGAAGCTCACATCAGGTATTATCTATCCCGTTTTCTGCAAATCCCTTGTCAATTTAAAAGTATTTAGTTAAATTTAATTTGGAATCATTAATAAATAACTCTATCAACAAAAGTAAGTTACAAAAGACTGAATATGCTCACCAGAATAGTTATATGTCAAGCATCAAGCATCAACATATTATCGGTTTCTCTAAGTTAGTATCTGTAGATTACAGTTGCAAGTCCTTCTGGACATTTCCATGCATCGTTTTATTTATCCTACTCACATACGAAATACCAAATTTAATTCCATTTCCGTTTATTTTCACTTATTGTTAATTTAAGGCAATAAAGTTACTACTTCTACATATATGCCCTACTTCTCCATGTAATATATGCCAAACATTTGGAAGTGCAATTTTATAAGCTAAGGACATGTGAAGCAGTGGCAATTCCAGAATAATTTTTAATTCCTGCTCTGTCTCAAATAAAAAGCATTTTAGTTCATGAATTAATATAAGTAACAATAAAGGATGTGAGGACACATGTAGCAAGCAATAGTAGTTATTGATTGTAAGTGCAGTTTTGGCTCGGCAAATGTATCTCTACCTAATTGGATCCGGGAGTTATGATTAAATATATCACTTATATCGAGGAGGTAGGACATAAAGATGCGTGGAGATCCTTAAGTTGTGATTAAACATATCACTTATCGAGGAGATAGGACATAAAGATGCGTGGAGCATAAACCGTTGTTGAATTTCCTGAGACGTCATTTGTTCATCTAAGAAGCTTCAATCAGAGTAAGGTTAAGATTGCTTTGACTCTAATTATTTTGCAATTAAGCTAAATGTCTCCGTTTCAGTATATATATTTTAGCTCAGTCGATTCAATATTTTTCATTTTTGACTCTTCACAGTAATACTCTTTTTTTAAGTTTGTAGTATTTATTAATGTTTCTATAACTTCTAATTATATCACTTTATATCATATCTAAGAAAGAAGGTGATATGTTTTATTTTATAACATTATTCTGTGTATCTAACTTAGGTCATTATCAATGTATTTAAGTAACTAGCTCTTGTCCTCTATTTGGGGGCAATTAAGTATGATTATTTTCTAATTTGCTCTCATAACTACACTCCTGCCAAAGAAAGTGGTAATAATAAATGCCTGCTTCTACTATATTGAATAATTTCCTCTAAATGCATGCTTCTAAAAGGCGTTATCATTAAATTCCTTTCCCTCACAATGAGTGATTAAGTTCACTTTTTACATATGTTTTTAAAATTTCTTCAATGTTGTAATTTGAACCAGATCATTTACTATTTGACACTTATTCTATTTTAAAATTTCTCTAACATGAATTAGTTTTTAAAACTTTTAATTAAATCTGAACTAGAATGACTTAATTACTGAATTTTTGAAAATTTTTGTATTTTAGAAATGTTACTATTGTTGATTTTTAACAGGGATTTATAACTGAAGCTTTGAAAATTTGTTTTTTATTAATCTTATTATTTCTAATTATGAAATATATTTTTTCTTAAAATATAAGAAATTAGAAACGTCTAAAACATTTTGTTGATGAAACTGCAATAATCAAATATATTTGAAAGCCTTCTAGAATTTTGATATTTTCGTTATTTTATTTTACTGTTTAAATTTTAAATTTACTTTTATTACAAATTAGTTTCTTTTTTAATTTGAAACATCACAGATTAGTTTTTGAAAACTAACAATTTAAATATTTTTCATATTTATAATTGCATTTCACCCGCGCTTTTCGAAACTTAAAAAAAAATTATTTGTTACAAATTAGTTTGTTTTATATTTTCTTACTTACTGACTGATTTTATTCCTATTGGTGGTTTTGCTTTTATTTTTTAAAGAATATTTGAAAATGGTTCAAGTTTAATATCAGGTTTGTTCAAGTTTGCAAATATACTTTTTGCCTTCGTTCTTTTCACAGGTTTGTTTAAATGTATCTATAGTGGTTTTGCACTTAGTTTTATAACAAATTAGCTTTTCTTTTATATATCATTTTCCTACTGTATAATTGATTATTTTCGTATTTGATGGTTTTAGTCTCTTTTTAACATAAAATTTTATTTGGAAGATGTGTAATTTAAAATAAATAATTAGAAATTTTATATCTATACTAAAATATGTTTATAATCTTAATTTATTATAATATTATAATAAGGGTAATATTAATTCAGTTATAGTAAATTTATATTAAAAATACATTTTAAAAATTAATTTTGTATTTTATTTAAGTTTGTACACAAGACAGTTTTTTTAAATTTAGTTCTTAACTTAACTTAGGCATATGTTATAATTATCCTTATTAATATTAATGCCTTAATATTAAAAAATATTAGATAGAAAGTTATGTGTACTAGTTTAGAACATATTGGAAAATCTAATTTCTTTTACTAATTTAGAATTACTAAAGTTGGTTGATAATAGTGTGTTTCTTTATTATTTTTGATGTTGGTAATCCTTTTGGGACATGAAAGATCTGTAGCTCAAATTGGCAGAGCGCTCTGAGTATTTATTATCTCCCGAGATGTGGTGGTTCGAATCCACCTAGATCTGCAAATATTTATTTATTTGTCTTTTGATTCATTTTTTATCTCCCATGCAATGCAAGACCAATGCTTCACCAAGATTTACCCCACCGTCCCTATTTCACGAAGGTATGCGACTAGAGAATATACAAAGTAGAATTAATCAATCCCTATCACATACAAAGTAGAATTAATTAATCATTCATGTAATATGATCAAGTTAAGTTATGATTACTGCTACAAGAAGTTATGATTCGTGCGTCATTATTGTTCCTGCATCTTCCATGTAAAAATGTGTATCGGATTAAGTTGTATTTTTGATTCATATGCTTGTTGTCCTCGAGGTGATATCTGCACATTTTATCCGGTCAGTTTCTAATGAGGAAGCAATTGAGAATTTTATCAGCAAAATATATTCGCATTGGAACAAAGGTTTTAGAGTTCACGAACTTGGACTTGCATTGGGATTTTTAGGTTCGAATGAAATTATGGAAATCCTCTTTTTTCTTAAAGATTACTTTGAATTTAGATAGGGGGGATGGAAACACCTTTCTTGTTTTTCAATTGGACTAGGATAGAAAAATTAATAGAGCAGGTTCTTTATGTGGATGAAAATTAAAATTTCAATTCATTATATACCAATATTTTTCGGATTGTTTGTGACCACTTGAATTATATGGTGTCTGATTGGTTAACATAAAAAAGTAATTTAGATAATATATATACTGATCGGATGGTTATAACTGACTCAACAAACTTGAATTTATTTAGAAAACAACAGACAAGAACTCTTGGAAGTGTGTGTGGCATACTCATGCTAATGAGAAATAAATTCTTCCTTTAAACGGTTTTATATAAGTACCTTCCTAAGAGATCAACGTTGTGTCATTGTGGTATGACCCAAACAAATATCTGTTTTAGATGTAATTAGGACACTAAGACGACTCTACACCGTCAGAAGAGATTGTGAATTTGCTAGTTGCTTTTGGAAATGTATTGGCTACTTGGACCCAAATTCTTTCAATGGGATAACTTGTGATTTTATTAGACATGACATCAATGACGACTCTATCTTTTTGAATGTTTGCTAGTGGTTGTGGTGTGCTGAAAATTTTTTTTGTCTTACTAATGAAGTGATATCTTTCTATATTTTAAAACTCATTACAGGAAATTATGTTAATCTACTTGCTAAATGTTTTCTCAAGCATTCTCTCTCATCCAATTAGCATAATCATGTGGAGTGCATTCAAATTTTTAGTAATTTGATTTTGAATATTGATAATTGTAGCTTCGCTAATCTTGATGTCTAGTGTTTTCATGGATTGATTTGAAATGATGATTGTGGTTGGATTCATGGTTTTGTGTAATAATAATTATTCCAACATTCTTCACGTTGAGTTGATGACGTTATATCATTGTCTGCGTATGGCTTGAGAACTTGACATCAAATACTTGATGTGTTATTCTAACTCTAACTCTACTATCAAGCTTATCTTAGAGACGTCCAATGTTTGACATCACTTTGTTACGATTCTCCACAATATTAAAGAGTTTCTCATTATAGAATGACAACTTCAAATATTTCATAATCTTAACAAAATACGATATTAGAAATGATGTGGCGTACATGTTTTTTTACTGAGTCTCCTTTAGAAATCATCACTATCTTCTTAGTTGACCGTTAATGAGATTTTATTTTTTAAATAATTTTGTTTCTTCCTTTTTTTTCACTTGTTAGTGATACTTTCAAAAAATATATGGGAGAAAAAAATTGAAAAAGTTAAAGGAGAATGAATTAAAAATAAATAAAAAATTGATATTCACAGTTAAAACCTTAATAACATGATTAATATTACATCATTTTCAAAAATTGTCAATATATAAAAGAGACTGGGAGTTTTCATAAACGT